GAGGATGAAAGATTATTTAATCGATATGAATAAACATACAGCTTGTGGGGGCAAAGCTGATAAGAAACTGAAAGGAGAGCTTCCACATAAACTACGAACCTTCTTCACAGTTCTCAATATATAATTATCTACTAGCTATCGTTCCTTAAGAGCTTATGTGTCAGGAACTGTAAGTGCTTTTTACGTATTATCTTATTCTCACAGCACTCTATGGTAAGCAATGCATATTCATTTTAGAGATAAGAAAACAGACTATGGGAAGTTAAATGACTTGACCAATGTAAATACCTAAGTTGGGCTTCAAACTTAGATCTATGCCACTTCAAACACCAAATCCTTCAATCCAAGGTATAAAAAGAACAATGGACTAAAAATATGAAGTCCTTGGTTTGAATGTTATTCCTGCCACGTAATGATTCTGTGATCTTAGGCAAGTCAATGAACATTCCGGTTTCCTTATTTATTAAAAGAAAATATTAATTCGTGCCCTAGTTTAACTCATAAAATATAAAAAGGGACTCTATATACATGTCAGTTAAATCACTACAGAGCTAGGCATCCTAGCAAGCATCTGCAGTCCTACCTACTCAAGAGGATGAAGTGGGAAGACCGCTTGAGCCCAGGAATTTGAGTCTGTAATGCCCCAAGACTATGACTGTGAAAAGCCACTGTACTTCAGCCTGGGCAACACAGCAAGACCCTATCTCTTAAAAAATAAAAAGAAAAAGGAATGTAAGAGATAATTACAGAAAAGTAGAACTTTTTTTTTTTTTTTTTTTTGAGATGGAGTTTTGCTCTTGTTGCCCAGGCTAGAGGACAATGGCACAATCTCAGCTCACTGCAACCTCTGCCTCTGGGGTCAAGGGATTGTCCTGCCCCAGCCTCCCAAGTAGCTGGGATTACAGGCATGTGCCACCATGCTCAGCTAATTTTGTATTTTTAATAGGGACGGGGTTTCTCTATGTTAGTCAGGCTGGTCTCGAACTCCCAACCTCAGGTGATCCACCCTTGTTGGTCTCCCAAAGTGCTGGGTTTACAGGTGTGAGCCACTACGCTTGGCCCAAAAGTAGAGCTACTGATAAACCAAAGACATGTTGAATAATGAATGGCTTTAACATTTTATAGTTCCTCTAATTGTAATAGTATATACCAAAGCAGTGACTTTCAAAAGATACTTGTCAAGCATACCAGGGGTGCAAAGCAAATAGGGATCTCACATCTACTTTAATGAGAGTAGCTCCAAAAGCTTTAAAAAATAAGTTCAAAACCACTACATTTTTGGCAACATCTACTGGCACCTATTAAAATGAACAGTGACACCAAGATTTCAGGCCTTACCCAAGAAAAAATATTGGTGCACTGAAAAGGGGATTCTAGAGACTAAACTTAGATTGAATCTTGGTTCTGCTACATGTTAGTTGGGTGACTTTTAATCTCTGAGGCTGAATCTAATGCAGGAAAATATCCACCTTGCAGGTTTGTGGACACATTAATTAACATAAAGTTACTACTACAATGTCTGGCACATAGTATTTACTTTAAACATTGCTATTATTAAATTATCCAACAATACTTTCGAATTACTAAATCTAATCTGAAAAACTGTATTATGGAAACTCATGAAAAATCACAAACTGAGAATATGTACCCTGAATATGGAAACATGCCTAAATAATGTTCACTGAAATTGAAGGCAAGTGATCATCAAAAATAGTTAAAAGAATAAGCCACACAAGAAACTATCAAGGAAACAGGACTAACTTTCAAGTAACAGATAGATGAGGGAGTGGAAGAATGGAAGTTAAGAAAAAAGCAAGTGAGTATAAGATGACATAAAGAATGCTTTGAAATTGGTGTGAGACATCATAAATCATGACTGACTGAAGAAAAAGACTGAATCCTAAATTACTTGCAAAAGAATAAGATATACAACTGAAATTAAGTATTCCCAAATGACAATTATGGCTCCAAAATACACAGTGGGTCTCACAGTCAAGAGACCCAAGTCCTAGTCTTTAATGGCCCCACTGCTAAGCTTCTAGCGTGCCTTAGGAATATGTGAGTCTCAGTTCCCACATTTATTAAGAGAATATATTTCCCCCATTCCTTATAGAATACAGAACTCTCTGAATGTTGAGTTCCTCAATTACATGATGAAGTGGTGAAATGAGACCATGTCTACACTCTCTTTCAGCTTTATGATTCTAAGGGGAAAGATAATCTGTATTATTACTACCATGAGACTTAGATGAAGCCTGCTTATGTACCAATAAAACAGAAAAGAAAAATATGGGAAAATTAGCCATTTGAGGACCACACAAATATTCACCAATATATGTTCTTCTCTTCACAATATTATCATAAAGAAAAACCTTTGTAAAGAACTTTCTTTTCCAGGACAAACAGTTAACCTAAACCAGCAAGACCAAAGCATCTATTTAAAAAGGATAAGTTGAGGACTTGGATGAATCTGGAAGCCATCATTCTCAGAAAACTGACACAAGAACAGAAAACCAAACACCGCATGTTCTCACTCATAGGTGGGTGTTGAACAATGAGAACACGTGGACACAGGGAGAGGAGCATCACACACTGGGGGCAGTTGGGGGGAGTAGGGGAGAAATAGTGGGGGGGGGGGAAAAGGGGGGGGGGGGGAGGGTTAACATGGGGAAAAATGCTGGATATAGTATACACCTAAAGGAAAATAAAAAAATAAAATAAAATAAAAATAAAAAATAAATTTGAGAGACGAAAAAAAAAAGGATAAGTTGGCTAGACATGGTACCTCACTCCTATAATCCCACTACTTTGGGAGGCCAACTGGGGCAGATCACTTGAGGCCAGGAGTTCAAGACCAGCCTGGCCAACATGGTGAAACTGCATCTCTACTAAAAATACAAAAATTAGCTGGGTGTGGTGGTATATGCCTGTAATCCCAGCTACTCGGGAGGCTGAGTCACGAGAATCACTTGAACCCATGAGGTGGGAGTTGCAGTAAACCGAGATCATGCCACTGCACTCCAGCCTGGGCAACAGAGTCTCATTCTATCTCTAAAAAAGCAAAATGGAAAGTAATAAAAAATAAAAAGGATAAATTACTAACAATTATGCAATCTTCCAATCAGCACATTTTCCTTTTATTTTCTCTCAGTATTTTCACCCAGTTCTTCAATCTTCAGAGAACTTGTTTTGACAAAGTGAGAAGCTAAGCTCTAATTAAACTTACCTAAAAAATGTACAATTATTAAAAATCTGCTTTTCTTATGTATTTGTATAGAAGAGTGATAGTATACTGAAAGATCAAATTTTAGTTTAAGAAAGGCAGAAATTAAGATATATATCAACAATTACTGTTACGTTAATATTACACTCCAGGTTAATTTTCCCAAATAATGTTATGGGTCGATTTCCAAATTATCTTAATTCATGTTATAGTCCAATCTTTCTGTCTTCCAAAGTGAAAACAATCTTCATTTTACCTACTATGTAACTACCTCCTCTACTCTGCATCCATTTATCTATCTTCTACTAAAGTTTTCTCATTTTTCTACTGTGTCTCATAGCAGGTCTCCACTTCAGTTCTTAGTTTCCTTCCCTGTTTTTCCCAACCATTCTTCCCATTCCTTTACCCCAGTTGTACAGGATTCTCCTTTCTTTTCATCCCTAGGACTTAATGTCACAGTACTGCATCTCGTATTCTCACCTCCTTCTTGATCACGTATTACTTCTTCAGAACCTGAGGTTTCTCTTCTGCAGTCCTTTTTCAAAGAATATCTACCAATTCATCTCTAGAATCCCAAATACACTCTTGATTCCTCATACCTAAGTATCCTTCCTACTCCTTTTCTCTTTACAGTCACTAATTCCCAGAATCCTGTCTGAAACTACAAATATCACCTCAAAATGAAACCTATTCAATTCTTTCCGCTTTTCAGCAATTCCTTCTCCCAGGTTCACCTCATTCTTTTTCCTTGGCCCAAGTATCCCCTAAGCTGGCACAAGCCATTTGATGATATAAAATTTCAAAGCCTATCTCTTCAACACAGCTATCTTCCCTTTCCAGCAAACTATTTCCCCCAAAACATTTTAAGTGGTTACTCCCAAAGCTTCACTAATTCAAAGTCTTAGGCCAGTACATCACTTCCCTCCAATCTATTGGCCCAGCAAAAATTGATTGCCCGAATATTCCTCTTTAAGCTTCCCATACCTTACAACTGCAGCACTTCCATTCAACAAACCGTATTTATAGTCATTTCTCAATCTTTAGAGCCTATGGTCACTTTCTAAATTCTTCAGTCCTCTCCTTCTTCTCTCTCTCCTGTATCCTGTCCAGTTTCTCAGCACATTCCTATTACCTAAACGATCTTCGTGGCTATGTTCTCCACTTTACCTTAGGCCTTCTCCCCAAACTTTCTCATTCTCCCTTAAGAGACCTAATCTCACCTCTCATTCCCTGAATCTGCCTTTACACCTCTGGGAATTCTCTAGAATCGTCTGCTTCCTAGTTCTCCTCCTTCCTTCTCCAACCCTGTCACAGGTGTTCTCTACTCCCCTCAGCTTTTCTAATATCTAGTTCTCACAGTATAGATATTAGAAGTGTGATAATATCTACTCCTCCCAAACCTTTTCTTAGTTGTTGCCCCAATTCCCCTCAACTTTTCTCTGTCATTCCCCACTTCCCTCCACCTTTGTCACCGTTCTACTCCCTCTTCTATATTTTCTGGAGGTGATTCTCAGATCCCTTATGTTACTCTCAGCTTCCCCAATTTTGCCTCATTCCTTTCTACCGTCAACAACGTTATTTTTCCTTCAATTTCCATTGACTTGGCGCCTCCCCTAGTCCCCCAATCTGCCTTCTACTCCATCTAAATGTCTCCAGGCCGCCGCCAACATTTTCTCCTATCCGTAGACTCCTTTCCCGTGCCTCTCTGGACGCCCAGAGACACCATCTCCAATGGTTGGGGCCTGGCCCCTAGGGAGAAGGGGTATGGGTCACGTACCCCATTCGCATCTTGGCTCCGCTCTGACTGCCCCCGCTGCCGGGTAGAGGTGGGCGAGAGGGAAGGCGGCCGAGGTGCATGCTCTTTTCGAGGGCCGACATTAAGGGGAGGCTGCACGCACGTAGTCAAACAGTAGGCGAAGCTTAGTCCCACGTTGAGTGTGGCCCAACCGGTCACGGCTCGCTCCCCTAACGACGTCCTGTCGCCTTTGGACAGCACCCAGATACCGGTAGCACCGCCTACCGCCCACCGGCTCCGTAAACTCCACCCACTCGCTTCAGCGCTTCCACCGGAAGTGCGCAACAGCCCTCCCACAAAGGAAGCTGGGTAACTGAGTCTGAGAACTTCGCAGTCTCCCAGCCGGTAACCCGACGACTTTCACCGGAAAGAGGAGCGCTCTTCAGGGCAATGCACCCTGGGCAATGGAGTCCTCGAAGGGCGTATTCCTATGCGCTTGCGCAGCTAGAGGCGCCGCCAGCCAACCCCGCAGAGGTAGTGTAGCAAAGCATCCTGGGTATTGTAGCCTATTGTAGGGAAGACGTCTTGGCGCCTTCTGTTTGCACGGTTGTCCGGAGTCTGCTAGAGGAAGAGCCGCTTCTTTCTGCCTCCCAGGCTGCACAGCGGCGCCGGTTGCCGGGGAACGCAGGCGCAGTGGGGAGGGATGGCGGGAGGATATTGCTTAGGTGCTGGAGACGGAGTTGAGCTTGTAAAGAAGAGCTCGGGCTCAACATGAAACAACGAAAAGGCCAAGGGCCTGGGGGCAGCCGTGGGCGCAAGAAAAGAGGTAATCTGAGCGATCAAAGATTGAGGAAAGCGTAATAGGGGAGCAGGATGTAAGGAATTTTAGGGAGACCCCCACCCCATCTGGCTAAACAAGATAAGGGACGGAAGAGGAGAAATAGCCAGGGAACCAGAAGGTTAAAAGGAAGGGCAATTGGCCCTCCAGAGAATGGAAAGGAATTAGGGGCTGGGGTAGGGGCCGCAGAGTGGTGGTAAATGCGGTGCGTTGAAGGTTACCGGTAGGATGACTGTAAAGGAGAAGAATAAACAGTAGGAGTGGTTTTGATAACGAAGTTAAATGTGTGTGTGTGTGTGTATGTAGTTTTAGAGGTCCACAGGGACAGGAAGAAACATAAATTGGCAAAGGGTTTGTGTCATTGCTTGTGTGATTGTGGGCAAGGTTCACGGCTGCTACATTACTGAATGACCAAGGACTAGTACAAAGCAGGACTCAGTAAATGTTAGTTGAATGAATGAAGCGTGAAGGGCTATGAGCAGGAGTTTGAGAAAATAATTGTGGAGTATAGAGGAGGGAAGAAAGGAAAGACAGGTGTGATAGGATTGGAGTCGGGGTAAGGGAATGAGGATCTCCTGAAGGACCTGAGATTGTGAAAGAGTGTGCAGCAGAGAGCGCTCATCAGGTTAGCTGCTCAAAAAGACACAAGCTCACTGAGTAGGGGATATTAACTGCAGTGAAAACAAGTCACCCTAGAAACCCAGAGTAGATCAGGAAACTGGACATTGAAGCTCTACAAGGCTGCCTTGAAGGAAAAAAGGACATGGGGTGACCCTGCCTTTTTGCATTGTAGGCGGTTTAGTGAGAAAAGAATACTGGGAACAGTGATAGGACTTTAGGCCATTGGGTTGAGGACTGAGGCTACAATCTGGGAATTCCTCTTATCCAAGCTATTTAAAGATTACTAAGGCAGTTTTAAGGTAGTGACTTTCTTGCCGCGAACGATAGGAGATTCTGAGACTGAAGTATGCTAGTGCTCCCTATGTCAAACCAGTCAAGCAAGTTTGGTTGATAGGCGGAAAGTCAAAGTAGAAATAATATTACACGGTATAGACAGAATGTACTTTTTTCTATACCATTTACATATGCAGAAATATATACACAACTGTGTATAATTTTTATGTTCAAATTATCCATAAGGATTATGGTGGGTCTTTTCTCCACTATGGAGGGCAGAGGGGGTGTTTGCATTAGAAGTCCAAGTAATTAGTTGTATAAATTCCTGATCTGATACATTCCGTATATTTTCTTCCTGTGAAACATAACCACTCCTCAAAGAAAAGTCAAAGGAAAAAAAGATGTACACAATATAAGAATGGTTTCTTAAATCTCTAAGTCTTCATGAAAAGGTACTGTGAATGGAAGACAATCAGGGTTATTAAAAGAACATTTTTTTTTTTTTTTTTTTGAGACGGAATTTCACTCCTGTTACCCAGGCTGGAGTGCAATGGCGCGATCTCGGCTCACCGCAACCTCCGCCTCCTGGGTTCAGGCAATTCTCCTGCCTCAGCCTCCTGAGTAGCTGGGATTACAGGCACGTATCACCATGCCCATCTAATTTTTTGTATTTTTAGTAGAGACGGGGTTTCACCATGTTGACCAGGATGGTCTCGATCTCTTGACCTCGTGATCCACCCGCCTCGGCTTCCCAAAGTGCTGGGATTACAGGCTTGAGCCACCGCGCCCGGCCTTAAAAGAACATTTTATAGAAAGTCAAGATTAATCGCTTTGTTTACACTTCAATGTCTTTCTGAAATCCAAAAAATACTAAAGCCAATAAATATATGAACCCAGCACTGTGTTAAAAATATTGGTAGACTCTGGATAGTCTGTGTCCTCACTGACTGTGTGATCTTGGGAGGACAGAAAAGATACAGACAATTTAAGATGTTCTTCATTGAAATGCTGAGTTGTATGATACAGACTAAATCGTTTGTGAATTGAGTGAAGGGAGTTGTTGCTGTTTTGTAGTAAGTGATTTTTTTTAAAAAAAAGAGAGTTAGATAAAGATAACATATCTTAAAAACTGTAGGTGTTGCAATAATTAAAACAACTGTACTTAGAAAAATCTCAACCAAACTTAGAAAAACTTCAACTACTTGTGATATTTTTATTTTTCGGATAGTAACTCAAATCAAATCTTAAATACTAATTAGGTATCAGGGTAGCTTACATGACCGGGTAGGTTATTCTGTGATCTGATTTGATAGTTACTTCTCATGTATTAAAATAATAGGTAGGATAAACCTTCTTTCCAAATGATGATAAATTACTGAATTAAAGACTAAAGTGTTTTGTTTATTTTCATTCAAAAAGCATATTATATATTTTCTATATTTAGTCTAAATTTTGACTCAGTTTTCTTGGATTCTTCTATAGGTTTGAGTGACATTTCTCCATCTACAAGCCTGCCCCCTCTGGTTGAAGGCCAGCTACGCTGCTTTCTAAAACTTACTGTTAATAAAGTCATATGGAAGATTGCAAAGCCTCCCACTTGTGTACTTGTCCGAGTGAGGTGGTGGGGAGAAACATCAGATGGAACCCTCTTTTGTCCCAGGGATGCGTTGCAGACTGAACCAAAAGTTGTGAGAACAACTACACGTTATGCTATTCGTTGTGGTCCAAAACAGTTTACCTCGTACCTAACAGGTATGTTATTGTTTTATCATTGCACCTGCAGACCTAATATAAAGCATGTGGTTATATTGTCAGCAATAAGTGTTGTTGTGTACCTAATATATATGGGCATTGTTAATTACTGAAGAGTCAAAAAGTTTTTATAATAGAGATTTTTCTTTATAAATTTATTGAGTGTTACTATGTGCCAGCAGTTTTGAAATGTATTACTTCTAATCTTTACAATAACCCTGAAAGATGGGTATTTTCTCTATTTTATAGACAAGGAAACAAGTTTAGAGAGATGAAATCAATACTTTCTAAGGTCACAAAGTTAATAAATGGCTGAATTAGGGTTTGAACCCACTTCTGTCTGTCACCAAAACTTATGCTCTTTTTACTACACCATGTTTTTTTAGGTAGTAACTGTAGTCTCAACTCTGGGGCTTACATTATACTCAAGGAAAGAGGATATAGATGTAAAATTTATCAATAGTACAAGATAATACATGCTAAATGCCAAATGAGTGGTTTAGTGAGTTAGTATTACAGATGTTCAGAGATGGAAAGCATCTCTCTGTAGGGGACCAGAAGCGAAGATGTCTTCATTTTTGTACAAGGAAAGTATTCTAAGTGTACTATGTTATTTCTTTATTCAGGTCAAGGTTTCACATAAATACATTTTGGATGATGGAGTTCTTTATCAAATTAGTCCAGTTCAAGTCAATAAAAACCAAGCATTTATTATATAAATAGGGTTGAGCTCAGAACATTGGAGAGCCAGGGGCAAGTTAAAGATTAACTCGTCCTTAAGTAGCTTACATTCTCTCAAGAAAAAATTTTGAAACATGAACATGTGAAGAACAAATGCTGTTATTCAGTCATTCAAAAAACATATATTAAACACTTAGCATATGCTAGACATTGTTTTAGGCAGCGTGGGGTTTACAAAAATCAATCAGAATGATACCTAACTCTAACTTCACAAACAAGTTTAGTTATTAATAGTAGGTTAAAAGCAGTAACTGTGATTAAAAGATACCATAAATAATCTTGGTACTGTAAACTTAAAACTTAAATCCTCAGGTAGTATTTTTATATAATGTAACAAATGAGGATTGATTAGAAATTCAATAAGAGAGAAGGCATTTATTTATTTACATGGTAATCAACAGGTCAGACTTTTATTTGAACATCTTATGGTATACTAATGCATTGGACTTAGCATCTGAACATTTAGGTTGGTGTTACCAACTGTGTGATTTTGGGAAGGTCTCTTCCCATTTCTGATTCCTGTTTGCCCATCTGTAAAATGGGATCATATAGTTGCCCTTCTATTTTCCAGGTATTTTTACAAAGAAGCAACCCAGTTGAATGGGTTGAAGTCTAGACAGTCTAGAGTTTGAACTCTGGCTTCAGGACTGGATTGATGATGCTGAGAGGTTCCTTAGCATCTTGAGGCCTCAGTTTCCTGTTACTTAAATAGGAAAAATAGCACTTATCTGTCAGGAATCACTGTGAATGCTAAATGAAAAAAATGTTTGTAAAATGATTGGTCTAGTAGCTGACACATTGTAGGTGTAAGTCTTATAAAAATATTAAGACTTAGGCAGTATGTACAGAGATTTAAGATGTAGTCCCTGCCCAAAAGGAACTTAAGGATTAGTTGAAAACAAAACTGACATACATGGTACAGTAGTGAGCAGTGCCAGACAGTATATAAATATTCTAGGAAGTTAATAAGGGTTAATCTTATGTTATTAGGAAGCCAGCATTCTGCTTCTACTCTACGCTCTTGCTGCTTGACTTTGAGCAAGGCATTTCATCCTCTTGGCCTTAATTTTCCCAACAAAAATTGAAAGAGTTAAACATCAAATGTGTCAGCACCCAAATTTCATTATTCTAGTTAAGAAAGAAGCCGATAGAAAAGGTAGAATCTCAATAGTAGACACATGAGGTGAACCTTATAAGTGACAATCCAAATGTAGACATGATGTGTTTTTTTAGAAAATGAAGAGATAAGAGGCTGAATGTGGTGGTTCCTCATGCCTGAAATCCCAACACTTTGGAGGCTGAGGCAGGAAGGTCACCTGAGGCCAAGAGTTCAAGACCGGCCTAGGCAAAACCCCGTTTCTACAAAAAAAAACTAGATTCCACATGCATAGCAAGACCCTGTTTCTACAAGAAGAAATGTTTTTAATTAGCTGGGCATGG